GCGTCAGTTGAGCCGTCAGCACGTGGCTCATGCGTCACGCCCACCGCCCACAACGCACATCATGACGCCCCCGCACCACGCCCACCCACGCCCGCACTCCATGGAGAAGCTCGCCTCGGAACCCATTCACCCAGCGATACAGGTTTGCTTTGTTTTTTTTGTTTGTTTGTTTGGGTTGGTTGGGTGGCGTGTGTGTGGTGTTGTGGGTGTGTGTGTGTTTGTGGTGTGTGGTGTGTGTGTGGGTGTGGTGTGTTTTGGTGTGGTGTGTGTGTGGTGCGTTGTGTTGTGTGTGTGTGTGTATGTGTGTTGTATGAGTAGTTGCGTATGTGCGTATACATATTTTTTATGCATGTAGATATTTTCCCCCTGTGTGTATATTTTCTTTGTGCACATCAATGAAAAAAATACAATCCATTTTTACATAGAGATCCATAGTTCAACATACACTCACCCTCCCAATGCTTCGAATGCACACGCACACACACAGAACACAACCTCAACATCAGAATTAAACCTTATCTCCGCGCAAATCAAACACATATAAACCCATCTTTACTCCCAATGCCTCGCAAATGATAACACACACCTCTCTCTCCCTCTTCTCTCCCCAAACAGCAGACAGTGACCGCAAATGATAACACTCACCTCCCTTTCTCCCAAAAGCAGACAGTGCCCGCAAATGATAAACACACCTCTCTCTCTCCCTTTCTCCCAACAGCAGACAGTGGCCGCAAATGATAACACACACCTCTCTCTTTCCCTCCAACAGCAGACAGTGACCGCAAATGATAACACAGCAGACAGTGACCGCAAATGATAACGCAGACAGTGACCGCAAATATAACACACCTCTCTCTCCCTTTCCCTTTCTCTCTAACAGCAGAGTGACCGCAAATAAACACACACACCTCTCTCTCTCTTTATCCTTTTCTCCCAACAGCAGACAGTGACCGCAAATGATAACACACACCTCTCTCTCCCTTTCTCCCCAACAGCAGACAGTGACCAGCCAATATGGACCGCAGAAGACACGAATGAGAACCAGTTTCGACCCAGAATTAGAGTTACCGCGTCTCCACCGCTGGTTCGCCGAAAATCAACACCCGACAAGGCTCCAGGTAAGGGGTGGGGGAGAAGGGACGGGTGTGATGGGCTGGGTACGTGTGGGCGGGTGTCGTACACTCGCCCTTACTTGCCACATACACATACGCCCACGCACATACACATGCATACAAGTATACAGACACACACACGCATACACACGCACACACACACACACACACACACACGCACACGCACACGCACACGCACACACACACACACACACACACCACACACACACACACACACACACACACACACACACACACACACACACACACACACACACACACACACACACACACACACGCACACACACACACGAACGCACACACACATATATATACATACACATATAATATATACATACACATAAACATACACATATATATGCACACACACTCAAACACACACACACACACACACACACACACACACACACACACACACACACACACACAGGCATGTATGAATATACATATGCATGTGTGTGTGTCAGAGAGAAGAGAAGAGAGAGAGAGAGAGAGTTCTGTGTGTATGTCAGAGAGAGAGAGTGAGAGTTGTGGTGTGTGTGTGTGTGTGTCAGTGTGTCTATGCAAGTGTGATTCTGTACGACCGTATCTGATTATAGGTGTACCCTTAGTTGATTCTCATGTACCTAAGGCGAAAGACATTGAGAGGGTGACAAGAAAAGAAAGAAAGAAAGAAAGGAAAAAAAAGAAAAAAGAAAAAAGAAAAAAAAAGAAAAAAAAAAAAAAAAAAAAAAAAAAAAAAATATATTATATATATATATATATATATATATATAATATAATATATTATATATTATATATATTTATATATATATATATATATAATATATATATATATATATATATATATAATATATATATATATATATATATATATATATATATATATATCCAGCAAAGCAGCATGAAATAAAAAAAAAAAAAAAAAAAAAACGTAGATAAAGAAAACTGCAATATCATATGTTTAAATTCATCTTTAGAAAAATTAGAGAACGGGGAGATTAAGATGGAGAAGAGGAAAAAGGGAAAGATAAAGGAGAGAGGAGAGAAAGCACAATGTGGAGAGCGAGAAGAGAATAAGCAAATGGGGAGAGGTGAGAAGGAGGAATAAGAGAGGGAATGAAAGAAGAAGAGGGGTAAATGTAAAAGGGGGGGGGGAGCAGGAGGAGAAGGCGGAAGGGAATTGTTAAAGAATCGGGAATGGAATAAATGAAAATACATAATAAATGAATAAAAAAGTGAGGATAATAACAAGGATAATCAGGATAATTTAATAGAAAACGCCACGCAAGGGATTAATGGAAATACAAAGGAGAAAAAGAAGAAAGAATGAACGAAAATAAAAGTATCTTCTCAAAGATGCTTTAATCTCATCTTTATTCGCTCTTTATCTGTCTGCCTCTTTTACATTCATCCTTCTCGCCACCGCCATACGTTGCACACTGACATGACTGAGAGGCTTTCGGGAGAATAAACCTCCGTCACGCTCCGCTTGTCATGTCACGCTTGTCATGTCACGCCCGTCACAGTATGACTGACATGTTTTCTTTGTCTTTTCATTCCCAGATCCAGCAGTATGTGACGGAACTGAACGGACTGGAGTCGCGTCGAGGCAGAAAACCCCTGGATGTGAGCAACGTTGTTTACTGGTTCAAGGTGAGTGAAAAAAAAAAAAAAAAAAAAACGTTGTGAGTAAAAAAAACGTTGTCGAGGTTGTTTACTGTGCACCGTCCAAGCTCAGGGGTTAGGGGTGTGAAAATAAACAAACTGGTAACTCACTTCAAGTTGTTCAGTCTATTAAATCATATTAATAAGAAGAAATTGGTTGTTTAAGGTAATAAATTTCAATAATTGATGGTAGAAAAAAATGTAAACGTAATAATTGAGCGTCAGCTGATTAGCATGAAAACGTTTTACCGAATCGGAGTACTTCATAGTCCGGAGTGAGTTGCCAGTTCTCTCTTTCTTGAGATTAGATCTGAAGGTTCAAGGTTCGTGGAAAACGTTCAGAAGCAATGAGAAACGTTTCTTCATTTGCCGAATCAAGGTGATTGGGAAACGTTTTTGCTCACTAGTTCTGGAGTGGAATCAAACGTTTTAAGAGGCGAGTAAGAAACGTTTTCAATTAGCTTTGTGGTTGATTCATGGGAAACGTTGCTGGTTAGTGGCAAATGAAAAACGTTTGCGCGACTGGTTTACCGATTTTGTTTCGTGGTCTAGGATCGCTTTAAACGTTCAGAAGTGGAAAACGTTCAGAGTGGAGGAATGATGTTGCGTTATTGATAGACCCCGAGTTAGAAACGTTTCCCATAAATATCGATTGAGTGGATGTGAGATATTTTGTTATTTGGTTGTTACATTTATGAAACGTTTCATTTATCGTTACCTCCGCCAGTTTTTTTTTTTTTCTTCTTTTTTTTTTTTTTTGTAGTTGGTTAGTTTCCTCGTTCGTTACCAAGATAACGTAAAAAAGATTTTTTATATGATTTTGTACCTTAACTTAGATGCCAAGATGATTAGCAGGATAACTATGAACAGATTTTTCTCTTCTTTTATTTTTTTTTTTATATTTATTTATTTATTTATTTTATTCTATTTATTTATTTTTTATTTTTTATTTTTTATTGTTTTATTTATTTATTTTTATTTTTTTTTACAGAGGTGTGTTTAACTTGAATGCCATTAGATTTTGGTGATTCAGATTCATGATCCGAATCCAGGATTTTTTTTTTTTTTAAGGAATTAGCATTGCGAGATTAGGAAACACGGACGTCACCAGTGTACTTGAAAATGAGGATATTTTAATGTAATTCTTCAAGTGTAAATATTTCTATTACATCAGTGACCCGATTGCCTTGGCGGAGGTATGCGCCCTCTGAGTGCTTCTAGTTTAGAATAAGCTGCAAAAAAAAAAATGGTTTAGTTGTTTACAGACTAAAAGTATGAAAAAAGTTTGATATTCTTAACAACTCTTCGCCAAAAATCTAGCTCTATCTATGTCACACCATTAAAATAATCTAGTGACCGCCATCATTCCGATTTTCTTACTTAGTCATCCCTCAGACGCGGGTTCTTTGATCGGCCAAAATCTGATATATATGTGGATTGATTTTATCCTTCAGCTTCTTTAAGCACTTCAACTTAGTGGTTAATTGATCAAGGAATTGAGTGCCAGGCAACTTACCGGCGCAGTTGCCATGCGCTATTTTTGATCATTATTATTATTATTATTATCATTATATTTCATTATCATTATCATTATCATTATTATTATTATTATTATTAATTATTATTATTATTATTATTTATTATTATTATTATTATTATTCTGATATTACTATCATTGATTATTACTGTTATTTTTATTATTTTGTTATTATTACTAATATTATAATTAATACCATCATTATTATTGTTATCATCTTTTTATAAGCCTTATCTTTATTATTATCATTATCATCATCATCATCGTTATTACTATGATCACTGTTGTTATTATCATCATCATCATCATCATCATTTTCATTAACATTAATATTATCATCCTTATTGCTATATTTTTGTTATTTCATCGTTCTTGCAATGTTTAGCGGCATTTATTCTCCTTCCTTCATTTAACTAACCCCCCCTCTTCTCCCCCCTCCCCCACGCCCACAGAACGCGCGGGCGGCCTACAAACGCCAGGAATTCCGCGCCATCAACGGCCTGAAGTCCCCCCCGCCGGATGAAACGAGTATTTCAGACAACGACGACCACCACGACTCCTACGCCCCTCCTTCTCACAACGCCCACAGCCTCGCCAGCTCGCCGCCCACGCCTCACGAACACGCCCATCTCCAGCACCATCATCAGCAACAGCAACAACAGCAACAACAACAACAGCAACAGCAGCAACAACAACATGAAGACAATCAGGTATGGACTCTTAATTATCTATTATTATCTATTATATCTATTATTACACCTTTATTATTAGGCCACAGGAATGAAAACTGATGGGGTTATTTTTCACTATTTATTTATTATATCATTACGTTACAAGAATGGAAGCTGATGGGGTTATTTTTCACTATTTATTTATTATTCATTTCTACGAGTATTTAAAGAAGAGAACAGCTTTTCAAAGTCATCAACGCGTCATCAAGACACTTTTAATCCATAAGTAAAAGTATTAAAAAAGAAAGTAAGAAAAAAAAAACATGACAAGACAACATTTTTTCAAAGTCATCAAATCATATATATATATTTTTTTTTTTTGGGGGAGGGATAATGAGATTTATTGAAACGTTTTTTTTTTCTTCTTCTTCTTCTTCTTCTTCTTCTTCTTTTCTTTTTCTTCTTTTTTTGTCGTCGTTTTCGAGACGGAACTATTGCTTTCACGGCCTTATCGCCCTTATCAACCCTTCCACCCTTCTTCAGATGCAAATTAACCCCCATTTCCCTTTAAAAAAAACCTTTCCACCTTCACCTTCAGGAGGAAGACGACCAACGGGGAAGCGGGGGCGTCGGTTCAGAGCCTTCGGACAGCCTCCAGGGGCGTAGCCAGGCGGCAGGGAGCTCGGAAGGGGGGCAGACCTCGGGCGGGGAGAGGTGCCCCCCCGAGAGTGACGTAGACATGAGCGAGGACGAGGATGACGTCAGATCACGTGACAGCGTCAGCGTTACCAATGATGGAAAGGTTAGCAGAGCGTCTGTTAAAAGGATGGAGGATTAGGAAGGAGAGAGTGTGTGATGTGTTGTGTAATGAGAGGGAGAGAGAGAGAGAGAGAGAGAGAGAGAGAGAGAGAGAGAGAGAGAGAGAGAGAGAGAGAGAGAGAGAGAGAGAGAGAGAGAGAGAGAGAGAGAACGGAGAGAGAGAGAGAGAGAGGAGAGAAAGAGAGAGATAGAGAAAGAGGAGAGAGAGAGAGAGAGAGAGAGAGAGAGAGAGAGAGAGAGAGAGAGAGAGAGAGAGAGAGAGAGAGAGAGAGAGAGAGAGAAGAGAGAGAGAGAGAGAGAGAAGAGAGAGAGAGAGAGAGAGAGAGAGAGAGACAGATAGAGAAAGAGAGAGAGATTACAAAAAGTTTTTTCTCTATAATGAATAAAATATTCATCAACAGTGCTCACAATGAAACCATAACACACAACACCCGTACGACAACTCTTCCATCCGTACGATATTCCACAAACAAACCGTATGCCAGAGTTACGATAACACGTATTTTTCTCTCGCCTTTTGCAGTGTTCCCCCCCTCCAGTCGTATCACCAGGGGCTCTCTCCCTGCCTCCCTACCCCCCTATACCCGGCCTGGGGCAAGGGGGGATGGACCGATTGCCATACCCAGTGGTGCCAGGGTCACTTCTCCAGCACTCCATGATGTATATGGCACACTACATGCCACAGGTGAGGTGCCAACTATATATTTTTTGTAATTTTTTCGTTTATTTTTTTTTTTTTTTGAGTTCGTGCAGTTATGCTTTCATTATTATAGTTTTAGTTCTTAGTGTTTATTATTATTTCTGTTGTTATTTTTGCAATTGAAGCGAATAATTCATTCAGATTTCGACGCCAGTTTGCGATGATATCAGTCACATCATGTGTATTAAGATATAAAAAAATACTAAGGTACGAAAAAGAAATAACAGGAAATGTGATTTATATAAATAAAAGAGGATGAGAATTGCAGTATTATCAAACACGGGTATGAATTATTAATTTTGAAAATGAATTTAATAATATCTTAAATGATTGCCATAAGCATATCATTTATCATTATCATATTATTTTATATTAGTATTAGTATTATTTTATTGATATTTATATTATCATCATTATTATTGTTATCGTTATTTTTGTTATTGCCATTAGTATCATTATAGTTATTTTTATTACTATTATTTGAGATTATTATTATTATAACTATCATTGGTATTATCACTGGTATCATCATTATCACCATTATCATTATTATCATTATAATTATCTTTATTATTGTTATTATTTTTATTATCATCATTATCGTTAAAACCACTTATTTCTTCCCTTACGTTTCTTTCCCTCCCCTCCCACGATCTCCAATCCCCCCCTCTCATCATATTCTCTCTCTTCTTCCCTCTTTATCAGGTCTCCCCCTTCTCCGGCGGCCTCGGGGGGAGCGGCATCCCGGAAGAACGACGCAAGCGAAACCGGACCTTCATTGACCCCGTAACCGAAGTGCCGCGTCTGGAGCAGTGGTTCGCCATCAACACGCACCCGAGCCACAACCTCATCCTTAAGTACATGCTTTTGCCCTATGCCACCGGATGCCCTACCGCCAGAAGTTCCCGAAGCTCGAGCCGAAGAACGTGCAGTTCTGGTTCAAGAATCGGAGGGCCAAGTGCAAGAGGTTGAGGGTGTCGATGTAAGGAAGGAAGGAAGGAAGGAAGGAAGAGAGGAAGGGAGGAAGGAAGGAAGGAAGGAAGGGAACGTCTTCCCGACACACGGTTGAGGGTGTCGATGTAAGGTGGAAGGAAGGAAGGAAGGAAGGAAGGAAAAGGGGAGATATAGAGGGAGAGAGGATGGGTACGTGGGAGAGGAGGAAGAGGAGAGAGGAAGAAAGGGTAGGTGGGTGGAAGAGGAGGAGGAGAGGACAGGACGAAGAGGAGGAGGAGGAAGAGGTGTAAGTGGAAAGTGAGGCTTAGCGAAGAAGACGGCGCTGATGTGAAGGAACAGAGAGAAGGAAGAAAATAGATGAAAGGAAAGTTTCCGGAAGAAGAAGAGAAGAAAAAAAACAAGCAGGAAAAATGTAATGAATATATATTTCCTTTTTTTAACAAGGGAGTATTTTTTTTTTTTTTTTTTTTTTTTTTTGCCGTAGGTATGGACACCATTCGTACACAGACTCTAAGACGCTCATGTACGCGAAGAGTTGAATGCATGTACGTCCGTGTGTACATTTCTTCGCTGCCAGATCGACAGACGTACAGTTTGACGCGCAAGCACCTCTGCGCACACCACCGTACGCACATCCGAGAAGGAAAAACAAAGGAAAACAAAAAAGAAAAAAAAGAAAGGAATATAAGTGGATATTCTTTAAGAAGAAGAAAAAAGAGAAAAGGATATAAGTGGAATTTCTTTAAGAAGAAAAAGAAGAAAAAAAGCACAAGGCAGGAAAAAGAATCAGGAAAGGTGTCTTGAAAAAAGAAAAGAAAAGAAAAGTGAACAAAGAAAAGAAAAGAAAAACGAAGAAAAAGAAAAGAAAAGTGAAAGAAAAGAAAGAAAAAAAAGTGAACGAAGAAAAGAAAAGAAAGAAAAGTGAACGAAGACAAAGAAAAGAAAAAAAAAGTGAACGAAATGACGAAATAAATTTATCGAAATTCGGAAATTTTGGGTGCGTTGTCAGCCCCCCAAAAGAAAGATGGAAAAAAAAGACGAAAAGAATATAAACAAGAAGAAATGACACTTATTTAGAAGTGATGGTGACTTTTCAGAGGTCTTAGAGAATTGGACAGCGTAAATTCCATGAGAAAAGTGAGTTACGATAAGACACTTGCGAATATAGTGACGTATCTGTATGTATGTGTGTGTTTGTTAGTGTGTGTGCGTGCATTTCCTGACGTACATGGCAGAGGCTAGTCAAAATTCTTTCTTCTTGTGTACGTTTGAAAATCACGAGAAAAAAAAAATGCATATGAAACGCAATTCATATATTCCAAAGTACTTTTTTTTTTAAAGTACACCTTACTTGAAAAAAAAAAAAACTAAATAGATATTGAAAAAGAAACTGGAAAAAAGGAGAGAGAGAAAAGAGAGAGGCATATAAATGATATAAATGAACCATTTAGTCTAGCGAACACCTACCAGGAACGCACATGAGCCAACGCACGCGCCTCCGCACACTGAACCGATTCGAACCCCAACGACCGAACCCCGAACCCCGAAAGTGAACCGCGGATGAACACACCGCACACGCACCCGAGAAGCGCACTCAGACTTAAGTGCATTATTTTCCCTAACGAGATAATGTTCAAAACCACGACTTTTGTGTGTATTCGTTCAAATGCGGACATGTTCTACGGCATCGCAGTACTTAGCATGTAATTTGTAAACTAATATTAAACTTATCTTATTAGAGACGAGAAAGGAATTCGATGGAGACTGAATAATTGTGATAAGACGAAGAAGAGGGGGAAGAGAGAGGGAGAGGTAAAAGAGAGAGAAAGAGAGAAAAAGAGAGAGAGAAAAGGCACCACTATAGCATGCATTTCCATAACTATTTATAATCGCCTCCCCTTAACGTCACCACAGAGATGGCGCCAGTCCGCTCCCAGTCACATTTCTTAATCTCTCACAGACAGATTGTGACGCACTGAATGTGGGAAAAATAGAATAATTTGGGAAGAACAAGAGGGGAGAAATGTGATCCTATTGAACACTGAACAGGTTTCACACATATGCTGTACACTTTTTGACGTAAGTATATAATCCCGTTAAGTCTCTTAGTCGACCTCTAGCGGCAAGTTATGGAAGCTCCTCGAGGGGGTGGCGGAATAGCGAATACAAATACTAATATTATTGGCTTGTAGTTCTGCCAGGTAACTGAAACGAACTATTTATCAGTGTAACGAAAAAAATAAAATAACCTTAGAATCTGATATTTGATATTATAATCTGTTAATGATACTATATATAGAAGAAAAAAAAATAATAATTGCAACCCTTCAAAACTCAATTTAGGCCAATTTCAAATATTTCTTTCGATAAGGCAAAGTAGTTAGGCAAAGTCGGCCTTATTTCCTCAGCAAAATGTGTATCTAGATATGAAGAGAAATTTCTTTATTTAATTAGCAATTCAATTAATTTCTTTACCTACGTAACCCAGTGTTGTCGGTGTTAAACACTTCGTCTAGTC